CTGTTCGGATTTCCCGCCTGACTTTACTCAACTAAGCTATTGGCCGAAACAGCTTCTTTAATAACCAGTGGTAATAAAACCTATTCATAGCAAACAGAGGGGACTCCCACATCATGGTGGTCTCTTTCTCTTCCTCTCTCGCTCTCCCCATCTCTCTTCTCTCATGGCCAAATCCAGTCTGCTACCACTTTCTCTGTGCTCTGGATTCTTCCAAATAGATTCCTTTGGCTGTTCTCGCCCTCCTATCTACAATAAAAACATCCTGCATAACTATACTTTGGAGTGGTCATGTCCTCAGTTTTACAGATACTAAATCAGGTACTCAGCTCCAGTGTCTCCACCCTGCTCCCTGTGGGTCCTGAGGATGTACATATTCAAGTTGGTCCTATGGGCCAGTGTGATGCTAACCCTATGGCCATCCATTCCTTTCTAGGGCCCCAGCAGCTCTTCCTGAGGAAATCTTTTCGGCACAGGATCCCCAAAGGAAAACACATCCACTAAAAGAACTACAGGAGGCCCTCTTTGGGCTCCTTGTTGCATAAACACAGCTGAACATGCCTCCAAATATCCTTCCCAGCACCAAGAAGCATCCCAAGGTCTGAAGCAGAAGCAGAGTACCAAGTTAGTGTGGACCATCCCCCAAATCCCAGAGTGAGTGCTCACGGGGTCTTTTCTGAAGTTGCAGGACCACGGACCAAGAGACACATAACAGACATCTGAGGGATGGAAAGAAGGAATTCAGAGAGGATTTTCTAAAGGATATCTGAGCAGAGGAGAGAAAAGATCAAATTAGGATCGGTTTGAGAGATCCAAACTCGAACAGAAATCAGAGGTAGGAAATTTCCTAAGAAGCTGCTGGTATATGTTTCAGAACTGAATGACCTGGCTCTACAGACTGAAAGCCACTGGAAGATAAAAGATCTGGAAGAGAAAGCTATGAGGAGAGGAGGGGAGAGGAAAGGAGCGGGAAGGGGAGGGGAAGGACCTGTAAGACAGCACATATGCCAAGTACTTTTTAAAACTGATCTTGGGGCTGAGAGATGGCTCAGAGGTTAAGAGCACTGGCTGTTCTTCCAGAGGTCCTGAGTTCAATTCCCAGCACCCACATGGTAGCTCACAGCCATCCATAATGAGAGCTTCTGTTATGTAGGTACAGATGCAGGCAGAACACTGTGTATATAATAAATAAATCTTTAAAAATAAATAAATAAATAAAACTGATCTTGAAGTGGTTTTTTTATATGGGGGCAGGGGGAGTTGCAAAGACCCTTCACTGTGCTTCCCAGCAGAGCTGTAGATGTCCACGACAGTGAGGCCATGCTACCAAACTTGGAGGGCAGATGTCTCTGGACACAGTCAAGCCCTTCAATAACACATGGCCTGACAAAACCTTTTCAGAAGAGCTGATCTCGAAGAGTGAACCTCCCATGCACCTGCTTCATGAAGCTTTTACAGGTTGTGCTCTAGCAGAGCAAAGAAATAAAGTGTGTGTGTGTGTGTGTGTGTGTGTGCATGCGTGTGTTTACTGAAGCCCTGTGCTCTCCCCTTTGATGCTGCCAGTTTCACATAGCAGAGATAATGTGTAACCCAGAGGTCATTTATCTGTTTCCTAAAAGTTGACTCAGCTCATATCCGTAGGCTAGCTCTCAGTTTACAGAGAGATGCTTTGGACTTGTAAACAGAGCTATGGGCTGTAAAGCGAAAATAACCCACTGTTAATAGTTAATCCTCAAGCTGCTGAGAAAGCTGCTGACAGTCTGCTCTCATTCTCCTAGGCTTACAACTTTATAATTCTTTATTTCTACATTCTTATTTTTGGAATCTACATTTTTATATTCTTATTCTCAGGCCCTTCAGTGATGAGTCACATTTCGCAGAGGCTTAAAAAGGCAAAACCACAAAGTCACCATACCATCAAGTCTAATCAGGAGCAAATGTATATATTTTTTAATTATTATGTATACAGTGTTCTGTCTGCATGTATGCCTGTAGGCCAAAAGAGGGCACCAGATCTTATTACAGATGGTCGGAAGACACCATGTAGTTGCTGGGAATTGAACTCAGGACCTCTGGAAGAACAGCCAGTGCTCTTAAGTACTGAGCCATCTCTCCAGCCTGCAAGCATACATTTTAACATACTTCCTGCCCAAGTGCCTCCCAGCTATATGTGATCAGGCATATACAGTTAGGTCAAACAAATTTATTTAGGAGAGCAAAACTGGTTTGTTATTGCCCATAAACAGTAGCTGCCAGCATTTCAGGTAGTTATCTGTCCTTGGGCAAGTGGGGCTTACAGGTTAACTTTGGCCCTTACAGTACCTGCTGCCAAGTCTGATGACCTGGGTTCAATCCCCGGAACCCACATGATAGGAGAGAACACATACACTAATAAAAAAAATTTTAAAGCTGTAATAACGCAAGCACTGTTGCTTAATTGAGTGGGAGTTAGAAGTAGGATAGACTGACAGTGAAATAAAGACCCTAAAATTCTTGTCCACAAAATTGTTTTTTTTAAAAAAAAAAATTAGGTAATACCTAAAAATGCCACAGGAGTGTTGAGAGTTACAGAGGCAGAAAAAAAACGTTAGCAACAAAAACTGACAACCCCTGGAGAATGGACTCTGGGCAGAAAGGTCAGAGGCAGGGGATCAAACTGTGGCCAGCTGGATAATCATATACTTGTTAATTATATATATTGTTTCAAGGAAATAAAAATTAGCTAGTTTAAAACTCAAAGGAATGGGTTATGAAAGCACAGATCTTATTTGGTCATGTTGTCAGGAGTGGGGGAGGGAACGGTGACAAAGGGAAAGGCTAGGAGGTGGACAGAGGAAGGAGGGTGGAGAGGAGGGCTGGGGAGGGCTGCAGGCAGGAAGTGAGAATGTAGCACACTTTCAGGAGACCATGAAGACTCCGGTGTGGCCACATGTCCGTACACCACAAGGAGCCTTGGGGCCTTTCCCTGGGCATCACATTTGCTCACAGTCTGTCTACCCCAGGCCTACCTGCTGCCGCTGAAGTCCTTGGCCATGGTGACCAGGGAGGAAGCTCCAAAGGCCTGGTCCTCCTGGTTCACTCAGTATAACGCCACCTATTTCTAAAGAGACTAACAACACACGATTCGGAAAGTGTGACAAAAATTCGATATAGTCACAGCGAAATACACCAGACATCTGTGAAGCCATGTAATGTTCCTAGAGGGCAGGTGAGATGCAGTTTTGTACAAGGAACTTGTGTGTCCCTGCTTAATCCTCACAGTGAACTCTAATTATGCAGACCACGAAGTTACACAGACTCACGAGATAACATCTTTAATTTTCTACTTGGTAAAGGCGTGCAAATCATAGAGAAAGCATTCTTAATTAACTTCTGGAAAGAACATTACACTTCTTACAGGGATTCAAGTGGGCACGTTTTGGGTGACTGATAAGATCTCACCGATTCACGGGCTTTGAGCGGATCATTCCCTAGGCGGCCTATTCTAGTGCAGCCAATATCCTAGAGGACGCTGTGCTGCTTTGCTAATATGGCTTTTATCATTTCACTTTTTTTTCCAAAGGAGCCTTAAGGAATACAGGCAGAACCAAGGAAAAGCCAAAAGTGGCAAAAATGGAAAAGCAACTCAATCCACAAGGGACAAGGTCAGCAGACTGCTGTGTGTGATCCACAGCCTGGCATTCATGCTCAGGCAGGAAAGTCATCCATCGATGGTATTCCTCCCAGCCAGAGGACATGGCTGTCAGCAGGCAGGATCCTGAGCACAGCCTCCCTTCCGGGCTCCTTCTTTACCTGCGGAACAGGCTTCCAAGAGGTTCTAGCCCTGTGAGAAATCCATGCAGACTCAGTTGCATGCTCAAAAGAGGTAAGCATGCAATTAATGCAATTAAAACCTTTACAGACTAACAAGTCTTTTCCTCTCCCTAAAGCCCTGAGGTTAGTCGCTGCTGAGGGCTGTCATCTTCTGATCTGGCTCACAGGTCCCTGGTGAGATGGGGGAGGGGCAGCCTTGGTCTGCAGCTTTCCCTCCCCTTTTGGAGAATCCTAAACCCTGGGAGCCCAGCAGACCCTGCCTGCAGGAAGGCATCCACCCTTCAACCCTATCTCATGAAGAGAGTGGAGCTAAAGATGACTAAATACACAAAGCCCTAGAGCAGCTGTTGGGAGGCCAATATTCAGTCTCTGCCCTTTTCATGGGAAAAAGCAGCCTTCCTCTTGCCATGCTGTCCAGCTCCTGGGGACTGAACGTGGTTTCTGGCAGGGCCAGACACACTGGGAGAGAAGTTCTTCCTTCCCACTTGTGGGGTGGGGAGCTGGGTCCTCCACACCAGCCTCTGGATGGATCAGCCCTGGAGAAGTGCCTCCAAGATACTATACTGGAAGATGAACACAGTTCCAGTTAATTCCACTTAGACCCTGTTTCATGGGACAGAAAATGCTTCAGAGGCCAGTTGATGCCTGTTTCCCCTTAGCTATTGGCACAGGCTCCAGGAGTGGGCAAGGGAGGTCCCCTTCATGTGCACCACATCCCTTCAGCACAGTATCTATCACACCTGGCTCAGGGGCACACAAACCGTACCTGCGCTCCCTAGTAGCCTAAAGGAACCACAGCCTAATGGTGAACATGAGAGCCACTGTCAATGAATTAGAGTAAGGGGACACAGGTAAGATCAAGGGGCTGTACCTCTGTTGGTAAAGGGTTTGTCTAACATGTATATCACCCTGGATTCCATTCTCAGCACTACAGTGGCAGGTGGCTGACATCCCAGCACCTGGAAGGTGGAGGCAAGAGGACCTCAAGCTCAATTTACCCCTTGGCTATGTAATGAGTTCAATGCCAGCCTGGGTTTAGAGAAAGAAAGACAGATGGGGGGAGGGAGTGAGAAGCAGAGGGCAGTAGAGAGAAAAGAAAAAAAAAGGAAGAAAACACAAAAGAATTGGTGGCTGGTCCTCAACATCCTACAGATCTATACTTGCTGGGCTAATCACTCACACACACACGGTCTGTGTTGGCAATTTATTTAAAAAACAACAACACTCCAGCCATCACATTTTCTTCTGTTCATCATTTCCCTTATAGAAGAAGTTACAGAAACATCAGGGGGGTTTGCCATCTTTACAACCCAACCCACGTAGGAGTCAGGAATGACTCCTGAACCAGGCAGAGAATAAAGGACAATAAAAGAACCAATTTGGGTTCCAGCAACAAGGGATTACTATGCTGGTTTACAGAGCAGTGGTTATAAGGAAGTTCACCACGCAGTATTCTGAGCCGAAGACCAATAAAGCCGCCTGCCTGCTTGCAAGCCAGGAGGCCCAGCGCAAGCACCCACAGCAACAGAACCGACACGGTAAGGCTTTTCTGGCAGCGAATGTGGTGGGGAGGGCGCTCTGCTCGGCGAGGACGCGGAGGCCTCACTTTGAGTCTTCATTCTTCTCATCTAACAGCGCAGAGCGGATCCCCAGCTTTTTCAGTTCCTCCACCAGGTCCCCATTCTGGTGCATCTGCAGAAGGATGTCACAGCCCCCCACAAACTCGCCATTGAGGTACACTTGTGGGATGGTAGGCCAGTTGGAATAGTCTTTAATACCTGTGGAGAGATGGGAGATGCGTCACTAAACAATCAGCGGAGTGTCTCTTCCACCACAGGCGCCACATCCCCCACTCCTACTAGAAATCCAGACCTCTCCCTGGGCCCCACCCCACTCCTGGACAGCAGTGAGTTTCAAAGGGACAGCACATCACTTGACAGGTCACATGCTCCCTCAGCTTCTCTTTCAACCTTCAGTCCCTGAGGTTTCCGCGAGATTCAGGGAAGGTGCTTGGTAAAACTCTGACGTATCAGCCAGGGAATGGAACTGTGGAGCCAAGGCAAAGCTGTAATTATCCACACAGGTCATGCTTTCAGAAATGTCACAGCTTCATTTCCAAATGTGCTGTGAAATGTGGATCCAGCTGAAGGTACTGGCTGACTGGGTGACCCCACTGCTGACCTACACCTAAGATGCTAAGTGGATGTTACTTTTGAAAATTACCAAGAGGCACAGAAAACCCTTGGCCTAAGGCTACAATTCTTAAGCCCCATGTTCTCAGCTCTTTGGATAGGCTCTACAGAACCTGGTGACAGGCATAGGTATACAGCCATGGTGATTGTGACTAGTATTAGATGTCGTTCAGTATGTGTGTGTGCACTTGCACACACATGCACATAAAACAAATTAAGAGAAAGTTTTTGAAGGGCTGGGAATATAGCTCAGCAGCAGAGCATTTGGTTAGCATGAGTGAGAGCCCCTAAGTTCAATTCAGCAACAAACAAATTAACAAAGACATAAATACTATTGCCAGTGTTTTTAAATGGCCAAAACGACCGTTCAAACACAAAGTAAGTGAGCAGGTGCCTCAAAAAAAAAAAAAAAATAGCACACACATCTAAAAACCAGTCACACAGTGGGCTTTTTATGCAGACAAACTTGTTCTTATAACCTTATCATTCAACAATGGTTTTCCAAACAAAATTACAAATTTGAGCCAGGTGGTGGTGGTGCACACCTTTAATCCCAGCACTTGGGAGGCAGAGACAGGCGGATCTCTGTGAGTTCAAGGCCAGTCTGGTCTACAGAATGAGTTCCAGGACAGCCATGGGTGTTAAACAGAGAAACCCTGTCTTGAAAAAAAATTACCAATTTGAGTTACAACCCAACGGTCTCAGGAGACAATCTATTTTCCTTTTAAAACTTACTGTCTTTCTCTGAAAAGTACTGAGTTTGCTGTAAATAACAGAGCTGGAGGGAGCCCGAGTCACAGCTTTTATCTTGCTTCTCCAGACAGCAAACACTGAGAAACAGTCACAGGCTGGGCGTGGTGGTCCACACTTATAAAGCCAGCACTCAGCTAAAGCTGGCCTGGACTTCACAGAGAGGTCCTCTCAGGAAGAAGGGGAGGGTAAATCCTACCAGTCTTCACAATATCAAGTGCCTAGGCACACTAAACTACCTGCTGAGTCCAAGGTGTTCGTCATACTGATAAGGGGTGCCATGAGCCCTAAACAACTACTCAGTACACGGTCGTGGATTTGTTTTTGCTTGCATTTTAAACTTGACCCTCAAGTATAAACAGCCTATAGGTCAGCTGTGAATCTTTTACCTTTATGACTGAGGGTGGGGTGTGGGAATGAAGAACTATTTTAAATACAAGCTCCATCTAAGCCCCCTGACTAGACCTTTCCTCCACAGGGAACACTGCCTACCTCTACCGAGGGCTCACTGCTTTGGAACATCGAAATGAAATACATTTGCTGCCTGAGGACCACCCCAAACCACACTGGACCCGAAACAGTGCCATTGTCTTTAGTAAAAACCTATGCTGAGAAAGAATGGATTGTTTTCCCATCACTGTTATTTATTTCCAAAGGTGGTGGGTTTGCTTGGCTTACAGTGCCCTCCCATACAGTCCACAAGGGCAGGGATGTCATGGTGGAAGAAGCGGGAGGCCGGCCGGCCATGTGGTAGCAATTGTATAGCACCTCCCCTCACCCAGCCCTGGGCTGGTCCCACAGAGCAGCTCCACGCTGAGGGGTGTGTTATGGGGTCCTCCACCAGAGCGCCCATCACTTAGCTGCCAACAAGTGGCTCAGACCAGATACTGCCTCAGTTCTACTCTGCCCACTGTCCTGTCTCAAGGCTGATATTTCAAGAACTTCGCCTCAAGGACAAATGACGGCATCTTGGCAGGACTCAGGGTGCCACACACTGACTGACAGGTCACTGGGATTACTTTTTGCTGATGTTGCTTGCTGGGAGGTTTTTTGTTTTCTTTTAGCCCAATCTGGCCTGGAACTCCGTATGTGGCCCAAGCGAGCCTCAAACTTGCAGTTACTCCTGCCTTTGCCTCCAGAGCGCTCTATCTGCAGGTATAAGCTACAAGCCCCAGCTTTCATGAGCTTCAATAGTTCAGGAGATATCTGATTCTTCATACGGAGTAAAGCGGGAAACTTCTAGTAACAAAGACTACTGTCTATACCTTAAACACTAAAATGAACCATAAAGGCTTTTTTACTTCCCACTTAGTTTTCAAAAACGGCAATATTTAGTGACAGTCAAGTAGCTCCTGAAAACTAGAAAATCAGACCACGAACAGGTTATAGTGCGAATCATGTTGTCTACAACAGTGATCAAACTCACACCCAGTGCTGAAGTCACCCTAAACAGAGACACTAGCACGGGGCTGAGAAGCTATGGACTCAGGCCACATACCACCACTCCAGCACACCAAAGACCAGACAGACAGGCAATCAAAACTCGCAGACTGGGGAAATGGCTTGCTTCCCAAAGTGCCACCCTGCATCATGAGGACGTGAGTTTGAGCCCCCAAAACCCACGTAAAAGAGCTGGGCACCACAGCACATCTGTAATCTCCCAGCTCTGGGGGTGGAGCTAGCTAAGAGGGCCACAGGGTTGTGCTGGCTCCAGGTTCAGTAAGAGACCCTGTCTCAGACACCAGACATAGACCGCTGGTGTCCACACCCTTCAGTCCTGAACACATACACGTGTGTCCCCCAACATTACAGTTTATCAATCCAGAAAAAATACAGTTGAGAAAAGATATGTAAAATCCCCCTGCCCTGTGCATTTTCAATGGTGCTTCCCACACTGAAGCACTTCAGCAAATGGCATTGTGGTTTTCCTGGCTCCCCGATGAAGTTCACAGCAGAACTCCAGGTGTGGCCACAGACCAGGCTCTGGGATCTCGGGCTAGGTGTGTCAGTCACATCCTAGGGTTACATTTCCTTCATGGAAACCGCAGAGCCTCAGGAGAGGAGAGCAAATGCTGGGAGCAGAGCAGGCAAGGCTCAGGCACACGGGTCGGCAGAGTGGCTCACTGGCCTCTAGGTACAGCCCCCCCCCCCCACCTCACCATCCACGTCCTCAGCTGCATAGCAGAGCTCCGCTGCCTCGCAGGTTTCCTGAGAAGACCAAACAGCATGTAACTGGTGAAATGGCTTGCTTCCTAGCACTGAGGCTATGGATTATGGATGTACGTGTACCACATAAGCAGAGCCACAAGGATGTTCTGCTCTGTGTGTCACAGAAGTGCTTTCTGGGCAGCGCAGTAAACAGAAAGCATGGGGCAAAGAACACAGGAATGAAACAAGCTGGAAAGTCCACACAGTAATAAGAAAGTAGCATGTGCAGAGCTCAGGGCTACAGCGCTTCATACTCACGTATCTTCCATAAATAATCCTATTTGACGACTACAGATGTATGATAAAATTATCCTTGTTTGGCGGATGACATTAGGCTTTAGGGAGGCTAAGTAACTCACCCAAAGCCACAGAGTTAGCATGTGGTGGAGGACCCAGGGCCAGTCTCTGAACCCATGGGCCCTCCCCACAGTCCTGACCACAGTCTCTTGATCACTGCACACGCATGTAACATATATGGGACCTCTGACATCAGTGTACAGAGACAGTATTGATCAAACGTGTTTCTGACATTTAGCCTTGTCAAATGCACCAGGATCTGGTTTGTTTGAAGCACAGTATAGTTTTACCCTCCAGCACTGAACTTCCATCCACTCATCCAGTCTGCTAACAGACCAGGATTGCATTCGTGGGTTCATCCCCACCACAAGTCATGTTGTCATGAACACACTACACATGTATCTTGTCCTACATGGCCCCTCTAGACCTGGGGTAGCAGGCCGGTATCAGGCTAAACCTCTTTCTGGATTTGCAAATATAGTTTTATTGAATTCAACTTGCTCACTGAGTATGCAGCATCCAAGTCTATTTTCAGCCTCCAACAACAGAGCAACAAACCAAATGGGGACCCAGGAGCCCACCGACATCCTGGCCCTTCACAGAGGAAGTCTGTCTCCACTCCAGACTACCTCTCTGGGAGAAGGGAAACAGCTCTGCTCATCTCCAATACACTGTTACAATTCCAAAGTACTGGTGCCAGACACATACAGCACGGCTTCCTCCAATATTCGCCAGAGCAGTAAGTGCCGGACTACTGCCTTGAATGCTCAGACACTGCTTCATACACATTTACAGGCTGTGGGAAGAGGCCTGGGAGAAGGGTGAGGAAGAAAAGGAAGTTCATAGGTGGGGCACAGTGAGAGTCAGAGATTCTAATAAACATGACAACCAGTGAGAAAACTATGGGAGACAACAGTCAGCAGAGAGGACTCCAAATGTCCCAGCACCAAGACATCACCATGTTCAAAGTGACAGCTAGGCCAGCTACTCTGATGGTGTTATGTAATGTACACACGTATGGCAAAATGTCACATAGGCTTCTGCGTCAAAAAGTTTCCAAGTTACAAGGACAAACAAAAGCAGGGTAAGAGTTATGCATTCATCAACATCCAGCCTCCTACTCTATCAGGCAGTAAAGAACACATGGGGATAGACACAGGACTGCCAACATACTCAGAGGAGTCTGCGATGGGAACAACAGTCACAGAAAGCCTGTCGGCTCAGGTGGTGTTCCCAGCGCCACAGGCTATTGCCTAAGGGTGAAATGCTGTGTACAGACAGGCAGGATCTCGCCAGCAGCACCAAGCCCAAGGAATCATGCCTGCACTGTGCCCTGGGTTCCTCAAAAGCCCTGTGGCTGTGGCCTGTGTACCTCCAGGTAATAAAAGCGAGGACCAGGGCTCTTTGTAAAATTCTGGCACAAGGGACAAGGGCTGATGCTACGCAGGCCCCACGCTGCAGTAGGGCAGGTAGGAGGGCCCCTCCTTGCCTGGCAAAGCAAGGATGAGCCTCCTGCCTCCCTGCCCCTGGGCAAACTCAGGGTGTAGACAACAGATTGAAGAGTCTTCACTCAGTAAAGGCCTGACCTGGCTAAGAAAGGCCCCACTGGGAGAGCACAGTCACATTGCTCTCACAGTCCAGAGGCAGCCCTACTCTTAGCCACATGTTTAACACAGGTTTAATTATTTTGATGACACACTTATTAACCAAATTAACAAGCCAATAAAATCAACAGTCAAGAAACATAAGAGTTGTGGCTGGGCATTACAGCTCACACCCGAAATTCCAGCACTTGAATAGCAGCAGGATCAATCCGTGTTCTGGGGCAGCCTTGTCTATACAATGAGTTCTAGGCCAGCTTGGCTCGCCTGTCTCGATACAAGTAATGGGGAAAAGGAAGGGTTAAATTCTTCTCTCGTTTGATCACCTAATGAGACAGATCAGAGGCCAGACATGTGAGATGGAGGATAGCAAACCTCCTTGCTTTTAGTGCTCATATTAGCCGTATTCTGTTACAGCTTGCCTGCAGTTATACTACAGAGAGGAACATAAATTCTAAACCAAAGACCCCAGGACTTCATATTAAGCAAGATACCCACAATGCAACTGTCTGCTAGGAGTCATACTTGCAGGGCAACTGTGGGTAGGTCCCAGGTCAGACTGCAGAGTGGGAGCTTATCTTCCCCAGCAGGGAGCCACCTGTCTCAAAACTACAGCTTGCTCTGGGCTAGATAACCAGGGCTTCACAAACAGCCAGCATCAGCTGAGGAAAACACGAGGTTCTGAGCAGAATGCATGGCTTGCCACTCATTATTCCTGATAGCATAAACTTGTCTTCCTCCTTCAGCTTTACCCTAGAGTTTGGTCCATCAATACTATCAAGAGAGCAAATGTAGGGCCAGCTGCTTTGGACAACATAGAGAAAAGTACTTTGGAAACCATCAAGTTTGATAACAAAGTAACTGCCACTAGTGAGTGTCTTTTGTGCCAGATAGGATGATAATATGTACAGTGTATAAGGGGATGGGGACGTTCCCACGACGAAGTGCAGTTCTGGCCATGAACTGGTGATCCTCCTGCCTCAGGCTCCAGAGTGCTGGGATTACAGGTGCTGAATTACACGCTCTGCTATAATTTTTATTTTTCTCGTTTCTTCGTGGACTCTGTCAGTTTTGGTGCCATAATCTTCACTTTCCCGAGAAGGAAAAGCAGACGGACCACAGAAGATTCCAAGCCAAATCTGCTCTCCACAGCCCAGCCTGTCTCGTCCGGGGACGGACACATGAAGAATGACTATAGGCAGGAATTTCAAGCCTTGAACACTCCGTGCTAACACAGAAATGTCTCATTTCAGCAGTGACCAAACCAGAGCGCTAGGTCAGGAAGATGGGGCGGAGGTGGGGGTTGGGGGAGTTGTTACTCCGGCCCTGGAACTAGGGAGCAGGCTCCCCCGATTACAGTAGGCATTAGGACCCGGTTTCTCTGCCTCGGGGTCAGTGAGTGAAAAGTCACAGGTCCGGCTGTTCTGTACAAAGGCGTTTGTTAATCAAGTTGGGGTCAGAAGTCATTGTGGCTTCCTCTTCCCGCTGAGCCTTTCCCAAGCTCCAGTCCTCACACACTGCTACGGTATCTAAAAACCCAAATTAGTGGCTTTCCCCCCAAATCGGATCCCAACCTGAGTCCAGCTGGACTATGGCACAACCCTCTGTGCAGCAAGAAGACAGTCCCGGACACTCGGGGCCTTAAATATGAGAGGCCAGCCTTTGACCTCAAGTACACACGGGTAAGCCTGAACCTCCCCCCGCCCCCGCCCCATACACAGTACCAGTGCCTCACCTAGCAAGTAGGCCGCTGGCTTCCAAGACCCTCAAAGTGTCCCTAGTGTGCCAACAAGTCGCGGGTACTCGCTGCGAGCCCCTCACAGCAAGCTACTGCCGAGCTGACCCGCTGGGGGGTCATGCTACTGACCACCCTCTTCCGACGCAGCCCGAGACAGCTTGTCCCGAGGTGAGGGCGAGGCGAACCCCCGCTCCTCTCGAGATCTGCTCAGCCCACGCCGCCGGATCCCACGGGCCTGACCTTGCCGCAGCTCCGGGTCGTCCAGCACGTTGTAGGCCGCGTAGTCGCGGACGCCGTGCAGTCGCAGGATCTGCACCACGGCGTTGCTGAAGCC